GCAGGTGACACAACAGCACAATGAAGATTGCAAAAGACTACTAAGACTTATGGGTGTCCCACTAGTTGAGGTTACTATTCTGTCTGAAAAGTTTGTTCTTTTTTTTTATTTCTAACAAAAAGTTTAGATATCAAATTCAGATTTTGTATGTTAGGCTCCTTCAGAAGCAGAGGCACAATGTGCTGCACTTTGCAAAGCTGGAAAGGCAAATATCTTCCTGTTTGATCGTCTTCTGATTTAGGATATAGTTCATTGTTTTCCCATGATAACCAATCGTTTAACTCTATGTAAATTACCATCATACATCAATGATTTAATTTCCTTGTTCACTGAACTTATGCTTGTTCACTTGTCTGATGTCTTCTTCTGCGTAGTCACTTGTTTCCTCGAAAGAAGTTTTTATGGGATCCACTGAACTTATGCTTGTTCACTCGTCTAATGTCTTCTTCTGCGTAGTCATTTACATTTGGTACGCTCTTTACTAAATCATCTTTGTCCAAGGAATTTTTGCTGACTTCGAATTCTTATCATTGCTTAATTGTTGTGCGGTAACCAGAATTCATCTATCATGAATGGTGCTTTAGCTGTAATTTTTGTTTTTCAGGTTTATGCAGTTGCTTCTGAAGATATGGATTCCCTTACTTTTGGAGCTCCTAGATTTCTTCGCCATTTTATGGATCCCAGCTCAAGAAAAGTTCCAGTCATGGAATTTGAAATTCCAGGGTACTTAGAAAAGTTTATTCATTGCGATTGCTTAAATTTTTTTTTTCTCACTTTCATGACCTTTAGATCTTGGAGGAGATGAATCTGGATATGGATCAATTCATTGACCTTTGCATTCTCTCTGGATGTGACTATTGTGAAAGCATTCGAGGTAGACGTGATATTATTGCAGTGCTCTGTTAACTGTTTTATGCTATCGTATATCATTCTGCCCTCTCATATGTTTTAGATTGATGATTTCAGTGGCTTTACTTTGGAATGAATTTATCAGGTATTAGAGGGCTGACTGCTCTTAAGCTCATCAGTCAACATGGTTCCATAGAAAACATACTAGAGAACATAAACAAGCAAAGGTGCTTCTTATTCTCTTATCTTGTCCCTAGACTTGTAAGCAAAGTAAGGCAGCAAAGTTTCTCACTGTAATAATCTTGGCTGCTGAATCCTTGACTTAAAAGAAATATCTCTCGAACTCAGCTGGAGCGGAAATATTTGATCAACAATTTGAAACTGAAAGATCATTTGCCACCAATAGATTTGGGCTGGCAATCAGTGCATCAACCATGCTACTTCATGTGTTGATTTACTATAATACTTTTATCTATTATGATGTCTGCTTTGTCTATTCTTTCACTCTCACTTGAACAAAATTCATTTCTCTATCCGTAAGACCCGGAGGTTCTTTGCATTGCTTGGAAGTCTTTATTCAGTTCAGTTATCCTTCTTAAGGAAATGTTTGCTTGTTTTTTGAATAGGTATCAGATACCCGATAGTTGGCCCTATGGCGAAGCTTGAGTGCTTTTTAAGGAACCAATAGTTTCTACGGAAGAACAACCTGAGATAAAATGGACTGCTCCAAATGACGAAGTGGGCCATTTTCATGTTGGGATTTACTTGCAACATTTCACTTTTGAATTCTTGACTCATTTCCTAATTGATTGTTCTTTCCCTTTCAAGGATTTAATGTCCTTTTCTAGTGAATGAGAATGGGTTCAACATTGACAAAGTGACAAAGGTATGGCTTCTATCTCCAGTAATGTGTTGGTCAGTTGCCTACTTGAGGAAGTTGCTTCTTTTCCTCTGGAGGAGAGAGCATACATGTTTTCAATGTTGTTTTACCATGTGTAGCAGACGATAGAGAAGATTAAGGCAGCTAAGGATAAGTCATCACAAGGCCGGTAACTAAAGCGTGAATAAATGAAAGTGACTTCCAAAATGCACTTTCTTTCATCCGATGATTTCTCATTTATTTTCTACAGATTAGAATCCTTCTTTAAGCCAGCTAAGAATCTATCTATACCTGCTAAGAGGAAGGTATGTCATCTTGATATATTTGAGTACTGAGCACCTAGAATTTACCTTCTTTTAATGTATGTGAAGGTGTAATGTCACACATTGCTCTAGCAAAGAGATGTCTTCAGATGCAACTTTTGATGGATGAATAGTACTCCCTTTAACTCACTTCATAAGCCATTGATTGCCCTAGCGATGCACAAATTTTTAGATCTTTGTGATCATTTTTAAGCTGTTGGTGGTAGTGTTGTAAATCAACGGTAGTGTGTTGCCATGCCCCTGCTGCTTATGCCCGATTAGTCTCATATAACTTTACAGATGTGCTAATGGTGTTGCATCATCCTATTCATGAAATCAATTAGATAAACAAAAGCACCAGCGTGCTTATGCGGATCTGTTAAGAATTTCGGCCTGATTAACAACCATAATTGCAATGGATGACAGGAAAGCAAATGCACACTTCAATCCTCCCCCAATCTGGCGTTCAAGCCTAAGACATGCTCTACACAAGTCTCTGTAAATCTCCAGCACAGGTTCCTTGGCAACTTTAAAATGCCAACCATGGTCCTGGGTTTGAGGAACTTCAAATAGCCGTTGAGAGTTGTCTGCCTCCCGACATGGAGCTAAATGATGGTGGATGTAAGAACCCTATTTATTGAGCAAGTCCTGACTTGTAGATGCTGTTTTTGCCCATTGTTGGAAGCAAGTTGATGCTTTCCTTTCCTAAAAAACGGGTCATGTCTTATGGTACTGCAATTTTGGAAGAGATTTGTATAAATTTTTATTAGATGGATGAAGTTTTCTCTCTATGTTAGAATGAGATTGGTACTTCTTGCCGGGCAAATTGCATTTTAGTGTTCATTTTACAATACGTATATGTCACTTATACAATGTGTATATTATTGTCATCCATGCAACAGGAAACCCCTGAATATATTGCCAAAGCGGCAACTAACAAGAGTTCCAGGCTGGTGGTGGTAAGAAATAGTTTAGTTGGCACATAACAGATCATGGAACAGCAAAACCATCGACATCTATGTCAAGTACTTATGAGTTTCCCAATGGCGATTCTTCACAATTCTTCATTTCGATTTCTCTCTTAAATCTCCCCGCTTGGAATTGTGATATATGCGTCGTTATGTTTCTTGCCTTATCCAGGAGGTTTGCATGCAAATTACGAGTGGAAACTTGATGTCAGTTTGTAGTCTCATGCAGTCTTTGCTGGATACCATCATATCATGGAAGGTTTATGGGTGCTGAATGCTGATTTAACTTTCATTCATGACTACTTGTTTATCTTGTTGGACTACTATCGTGTGTTTCATCTGTAAGTTTCTCAGTGCGCATACATTTGATGGGTTGACTGATAACTCGGAAGATGGAGATACGAAACTACACCAGCTTGATATCGAATAGTTAGTAGATGACTTCGATTTGTTGCCACTTATGTTACTAACAAATCATATCAAAACTCCAATTACAAATTTAACTTGTTTATTGTCTCTTACATTGAGTCATATCCAAATTAACAAATTACATAACATAATTTAGGAGGATTATTTCGAAACACCATAAGAACATTATCATGTTAGGAACTGAAAATTGGATGCTAGAAAGAGCCAGCAATCATAAAATAAATTTGCATGGAGAAGCAGAGGAGTTACCAACAAACTGGAATTAGCTAATGCATGCAAAATTTAAATGGACATATAGTATACTATAGCTTATAATGTATATAAGTAAATTGTAATATGATCTTTAATCAGATCATATATTTTATTTATTTGTGTAGTATAAATCCTATCATCTGTTGGGTCATTTACCTATGTGTATAGTACATTAAGGTAAATGAAAATTCAATCATTGATTTGGTCCACCTATATTTGTTGATAGAGTATATGCCACAGTGAAAATGGTTAACTCACACGGTAGGTGTAAGAGCCCAGTTACATTGTGCATATTTTGCAAATGATCAAGTCCTAACTGCTTTATCTTTAGGTCACATGTAAATCAAAATCTATATGGAGTTCATTTACATTGACCGTCTCAGTTTCTGCCTGAATTGATCTCTCAAATCACATTGTATGTCATAATCTTACATTTTTAAGCAGAAGCGTAATTGCCAAGAGGAGTAGTGGCCGATCCTCAAACAGCCTAACCAATCTTCGCCTCAACATTCTTCGATACAAACCCTGAATCCATGGGATCCAACTACTAGAAGCCATTCTTGTTGCCATTTTCTTTGCTAAAGCTGCATCATCCACCAAGTAAGGTACTATATATTTTTGCACGTCAGCGAGAGAGATCCGGAGATGGTTCCTAGAGACATTGATAAATTTGACTTTCCCAGCTTCATCCAAGGTCTTCAATCCAATCCAATCCTTGGTGTAAAGCTCGATCTGCAGGAAATGCATACATTTCTATTTTTTTTTTCAATCCAATCTAGTCCTAATGGTAAAAGGATGCAAATTGTAGCAGAGTAAGGGTAAAAGCATGTTATGACGAGCTTACACCATAGCGACAACACAATATCACAATATGTTCGTTCGCCCATTCTCTTTTGTCCATTTTTCTCATGTAAATGCAATTTTCCTTCGATTATCGACTTGTCAATAGTTAATGCTCAATGATGAAATGAAAATCATAAATCACTACCAAAAGTAATTCCAGACCATGTCATGAATATACACCTCCTACACCCTAAGATTGTAGAGTAAGAGCTCGGTAAAGATAATGCTTTCACAATCCTCAGTATTACTTTCAACATGGTTAATCATTCATATCTAGGGCTTAGAAAATGTTTCAGCTTGTTCTTTGTTACATTTCTTGGTTGACTGCACAAAGTGCAATAAAACAAGTTGATTCCAAGTCAATATCAATGTTACCAGAGATTTTATATATTCTACACCCTTGATTTTTCACATATTTATGTGCGTGCAAGTCCTCCAGCAAATTCTTAATTATGGAATCGGTTTGAGGACAGGAAATAATCTCAAAAGAATGGAACCTTTCAAAATGCATGCTTTTTGAACCACAAGGAGATTCCACCCTCATCCACCATAAATACTTTACCACTGCTTTTCAACGACCATCAGTATCACCCAAAAATTACCATGATTCAATGGCACTGATAAAGACACCGATAACTGCATTTCAAGGTAATGCAGCAATTACCTCCTGGGTAGGCAAAACAGTATCAAAAGTTCCATCTAGATAGTATACGAACTAGGATGTTTCCTTTGGTATCAACACAGTGTCTTGCTCAAACTAGAGGGAAATAAAAAGAGTTAGCATCACGAAGCTGCGAAAGACAAGGATCCAAAATCAACAACATATACAAAACTAACCATAATAAGGACTAGGTTCTGCAAGCTAGCAAATCTTTCCTTGTAGGTTGAGTTTCTGTCATCCGCAAGATCATTGTTTACTTTTGGGAGAAACTTGCAGCCTTTTAGACAGTTAGCAAGGTCCTGCAGAAACAAAAGGCAATTCACACATTGCTTAATTGAAAGAACATTTACTTTGTGACACAATAGCGAGTGAAATGAGATTTTGCATTGAGAAATAACATCAAACATATGAAACTAAAAACAGGGAATCAATGAAAATATGCATTGCTCCTATGTTATACAAAGAGTATTGTCGGCCATGCCAATTTTTGAATGGTTATAAAAAATTTTGACTGGATAACAGAGTAAGAAGCACAAAATTTGGACCATCAAGAAGATATAAACAAAAAGTCATCCTATCTAAATATTTTCTCTCTTGACACGGAAACATACTGACGGTTGTATCTTCACGTAACCAGCGGGTGCCAAGTGCTCCTGTGATTGTACGAAGGTTTCCGAACAAAACAAGAAGATGAGGTTAGTGAAGTATTAAAGAAGAGAGAAAATTAGGTTGGCGCACTATTTCAACAGTGGACATGTAAAGAAGCTACCTGTTGATGGTGCAGAAAAAGTTAGCCAGTATAAGACTTTGAGCAACACTATCCTCGGGTATCGTTATAGTAAAAGGGTAATGTGAATCAGGAAATGACTAGTAAGACCAAGCCAAACCTGGACATAGTCAGAGTAGACCCCTATTAGCTCAATCAAATAGTCCACAAGAACGCAGAAGATACCAGACCATAAAAGAAGGAAAAAAAAAATCAAACTGCAGTGATATAAGCAAACTTCAACCCCCATGAGGCCTCAACCAATAGAACACTAGAGAATAGCGTATCCTAATGCCAAATCAATCTAAAACCACGCCAGAAACGCATGTCATGTACAAAAATATTTGCAAATAAATATAGGAAAGACTTGAAAAAACGATTTTTCTTTTGCCCTTGTCACGTACAATTCTACCGGAGAGAACTACTCTCGAATAGCCAAACAGATTCTCAAAGGCTTCTGTTCATGTGTCACTATAACCAATTTCGGTGGGACTCGTCAAGTATGTGCTCAAATGAAGTCAATCCCCAGTAGCTCTTTATTAACAGAAAAGAAGAAACATGAGAAACAATCCAGACAAGTCTTCTTTTGAAAGCATAACATTATCTATGTAAACATAGCCATAGCCTCTGCTTTGCCTATAGTAATATTACATATTCAAATGATCGCTAAAGTTCCACATTCTCTGCAAAACGTGTCCCGTCAAAGTAAATTTGAATTCTGAGGAGAACGTGCGTGCAATGCCTTTCTCACTTGGCACTTTTGATAACTCCTACTCCCCTGGAACAAAAAAAGAAATATTGTTAGCACCTTGCATTACCACATGCAAAGTCACGAAAACAACAAAAGAATCTTCAATTGCACCTCTATGGTAACCAATCAGGGATAAGTTGATCTCATGTGACAACGATAATGATGATCGTAGATAAAACAGTTGTCTAATTAATTTCCCTCAAAAAGAACAGAACTCGGAGAAGTTATTTGATAAGGATGCATCTTATACGTGATCCTTTTGCACCAAGCAATCTCAAAGGCAGACATGGACTGTATACACTCCTATGGGTACATCTTCGAGTTTCAAGCCCTCAACAAGAATAATTTCTTGCCGCTTTACCGTAGTGTCAATTTCTTGAGCCTAGACTTCATATGAGAATGCAACGATGTGAAATCCGGGCAAAATCACCAACACTAGTTTAGGTCTAAGATGGCAATTCATCAATGAAACATTGTCATTCTTAACCTTGATGGGCAAGTTTGTCATACGTCAAATCAATTTCTTACCCAGTTTTCGAGGAAGATAAGATGGGATGGAATCAAATAATCATATGAGGTAACAGACAGGTAATCAATTCATGCATTGAATAGCACAGACTGTGTCATGCAAGATTGCATCTCAATCTCAGACATGTAATAATCCACAAGTTGCAGAAGAAGAAAGAAAATAGATGATCAAGTTGCACTATTTCTCAAGAGGTAGGTTTAGTGAAAATTGAACCTGCATAGTGCTCAAAAAGCCTGATAACAACATATGCTTGAACGTTTTCTTACACAACCATGTCTTTAGAGATCAACCGAATATCATGTGTTCATGTTGACAGTTATTACAGCACCATACTGCGACTCATGTGTCGTCAAGGAGAAAATCAAATAAGATGAAAGTATGCATTTGTTGCCATGCCTAAGAAAAAATAACATTTGCTTGAAGTGAAGCTGCAAGCAAAAATTGGTGGTCATAGAAAAGGTAGCTACCTAACAGAGAAATATATCCTAACATGGTTTCTGGGTAACGAGAAGGAAACATCATGAAGTACACTATAAATCAGTGAGTCTTGGTAAAAGGTGAAGATAAGATGACAATGAAGCAAACCACCAAACACACACAAACAAAAAAGTAAAAAAGAACAAAAAAAGAGCTTTCTCAGTAAGATTGCATCAGAATAGTATAGAGGGACGAATCCTACCAAGTTTAATTTCTGTGTTCTCTACCAACCATTTTGCTCCATCTCTGCTGAATCCCACACGGCTCGTGTCGAACTCTTTTTCGTACATAAGCCGTCTGAGAATGAAACAGAGCACAAATCAAATTTGTCCTTCTGATCATAACACTCACTAATACCACAGTTTAGTGAAATACTCAGATGAGTGCTCCAATAGCACATGCATGGGCAACATGATTTCCAACAATTTGGAAATCCCACATTAGTTCAGCTGACCATGACCCACAAAAGGATGCTTAGGAACAGAAGTTTACCTGGCAGTATGTAGGGTTCTGAACAACACCCGTCTCACACCCTTGGGAATATGTAAAGACTCCATTACTTCAACTGCAGGAAATAGTCCATGTCATTCTTACAGAATTGGTTGGACATATCAATATGTTTTAATCTCAAAGTTGTCGGATCAAATATTAGTAAGTGCCTAACTATATTCTTGAAAATAGAAAGCAAAAAACCAAGGGCTTGTTCTCACACCAAGACAAGTATGCTACTTGGTCCAATGCAAAATTGACCATATTAGAATCTAGCTAGAAGAACTAGTGTATTTACCAGCAATGGTCACTACTGGGACAACTAAATTGTGCAAGAATTTTACTTCTGAAAGGAATAAATACTCCCAATATTCTCAAATAGCACATATTTCACCTGAAAACAAAATATAGTATATCCATAGACAATAAAACAATAAAAGTTGGCAGATGACATGCCAAGCCCTAACACACAAATGACTAACTAAAATGGATATGGAAAATGCAGCCACTCCCGTGAAGCACCCAAGTTTCCAGCAAATTGGTCAAGCAATCAAACCTACTAATGATGATGATGACGAGACAACAACAATAATTTGGCGGTCAGCATGTAATTTTGAAAGCAAAGATAGAACCTAGCATTATTATTGCAAATGAGTGAATTAGAGAAACCACACCACTGTTCTTACACAAAGGTCATCTTATGTACTCTATCTTCTGACATTTTGTTTTTTTGTATTTTGCTTTTGAACCTTTTACATAATTCTACATGCATAAGAAAAGAGGAATCGATTCAACGGACTGTACATGCCCAAAGTGAGGATATTGCTGTTCCACACCGCAAGATCCAACTCCCTATGCCCTTCAACGAGCGTGAACACAAACTTCTCTTGAAACGTCGGGTTTTTACCACCCTCTGCACACCAAATCAAATCAAATCAAAACTAAGATGTCCATTCGCACAGTTTTCCCATTTAGCTCAACACCAGAAACTTCACCCATCAAACCACCGTAACAAAACTTCATATCCAGATTCGAACAGGGAAAGAGGCAATTGCGCAAGCATTTGGTGTGCAATTTTAGAATTACCAGTTGCAAGTTCTGGTGCGAAATTTGATGCTGCCATATTCCAACCAGCAGCCGCCAAGGTGCTCCTAGAGGCGATGATGGCGGAGGCGGAAGCAGGGGTGGAGGCCGCGGCGACCCGTCGAAGAATGCAGCGGATCTAGGAATCGGAGCTGCCAATGGGAATTCTTTGTATGACGGCGGACGCAGCGGCAGCGTTTGAGGTATCACCCCCGAAACTCTCCATTACCAGAGATTCTCCGCGTCTTTAAAGGCCCCAAGTGATTTAGACCTTGCACTCTTTTTAGATTACGACAATTTATTACCTCGAGCTTCCGTAGCTCTTTCAATTTCGATAGGCCTGACATCCTCTCCATGGAAGGGCAATATTCGACTGATAGGGAGCCAAGGGATCCCAATTCTTCAAGGCCACGAATCTCGACTAATGAAAGGCAATATGTCAGACTTACCTCGCATAGATTCTTCATGCGCGACAGATCAAGTACTTCTGGAAGGAACTCACAACCAACCATCTTTAATAATCTCAATCTTTTCATTTCCGGCTGCGACGGTGAGTCCAGTTTTCTAAGCTTACAGAGCTCCACACGGAGTTCCTCCGACTCCACATCAAATATACTCGAGAATTCTAGCGAACATTGATAGAATTTCAAGATTGATAAGTTTTGCAAATTGGAAAAATCCGGTGATCGTGTGGTCGCCAGATCTCGAAGTTGTAACTCTCTTAAACTAGACGGGAGCCGGGGGAGGAATTGCACGTATTTGCAGGACAATGATAGTGATTTAAGCTGAGATAGGGTACCGATGCTAGTGGGAAGAGCGGTGACAAGTGTTCCTTGTTGAGATAGGGCACCAATTCTAGGGTACCAGAAATAAAAAGGGCTCCATATCAGCCGAGTCAAACTTGGGGGAAGCTCCGGCAATTGTTTCAGCTCGGGACATTTTTCTAGCTTAAGTATTTGGAGATTAGAGAGGTGACTCACCGTGGCGGGTAATCCGGATATACGTGTGTCCAACAAGTCTAGGATCCTCAAACGGGACAGTCTCCCAATTTCTTCAGGGATTTCGCCGGTCAAGTTGCGACATCCGTGAGCATCCAACTCTTCGAGCTTCTCCACCAGCCCAATCGTACTTGGCAATTTTGTTATCTCTTTTATGCTTCTCATCCTTAGTACCTTCAGTTGCTTTAGATTGCCGATTGAATCGGGTAGGAGACCAATACTTGTCGATGACAAATCCAACTCGACTAATGATTGTAATTTCCCAACCGAATTTGGAAGTTCTTCTATGTATGTACACCTAGATAAATCCAACCGCGTAAGTTTCACCAACCCTCCAATCGAGTATGGCAATTTGTTGATCAGCCTATTTGATACATCGAGGGTCAACAGTGACTGCAAATTACCAAACGTCTCCGGAAGTTCACGTAGCCCATGAGGCATGACAATCTCTGTCAAAGCTTGTAGACATCCTATTTCTTTAGGCAACTCTCGAAGAGACTCACATCTCCCCAAGTTCAAAGAAGTTAGGATCTTTAACTTACCAATGGATGGGTTAATTTCAATTAAGTTGGAACAGCCTTCAAGAACTAATGTCTCCAAAGATACCCACGTAGATAAATCAGGTGTTCTCTGTAAGGAGTTGCAATAGCTGAGTTTTAATACTTTTAGTTTTCTGGCCTCCTGCAAAACAATTTGATCAATATATATTGAGAAACAACCTGTGGGAAAAAAATTAGACAAAAGAAACGATATGCTTATGCAAGGAGCGGGACTCATATCGTACTTTGATTTGGTCCCAGCCAATCCATTCCTCTGAAATATGGCTCCATGAAAGGTCAAGAACGACTAAATTAGCCGGATGAAAGTTTGTTGCCCCAAACTTGGGAGGGCAACTTTGCCAAGAAATCCATCTTAAATTGAAGAGAAGATTATTGAAGTCTCCAACAAATAACACCCTATCCCCCTGAAAGAACCTCAGGTTCCGTAGATTAGCAAATTCATCATGCTTTAGAATAACGTCTTCATTTCCATGATATCCTATAGACAGTGCTTCTATTTTCCGACTTCCCTGACAATAGAAACACCAAGAAGTCCACATGTGAAGGTCAAAAGCAAACAACTTTAAGCGCTAATAGCGATTAATTTTTCCTTTTGCGAGAATAGTATGCAACAATTCATAGGAAAATAAATTGCTATTCCCTTATTGTACCTCTTTCAGCTGCAGAATGCTCAAGGCTTCCTCATGATTCCACACTCTGCTACGCTTGCGGGGATTGTTGAAATTCTCTTGACGGACAATCTCCCTTCCGAGGTCCCGCACTTGATCATGCATCCAGAAAGTATTGTTGTCTTTGATTTTTATCAAGGACATGAGAGAGAGGACTTCAAGGGAATCGTGTGGGTGATATCCACATTCATCCCACATGTACAGTGGGTATGTTTTGTCCCGACCAACAAAAAAACAAGCTATATCCAGAAATACTTGCTTTTGTGCATGATCTAACCTTTCATAAGATACCATCAATTTTTTTTGGACTCCCATGGGAGGAGCTTCTTCTAGCTTCTTCAATGTGTCTACCCATATTTTTTCGGATTTACCACTAAGGGATGAACCTGTAATCTCAAGAGCCAATGGAAGCTTTCCCAAAGTAGAGACAATTGCTTTTGAAAGGGAGACATAATGGTATGGTGGAGAGTCTCTTCTAAAAGCATGCCTACTAAAAAGCTTAAGAGCATGATCAAATTCCATTGCATGTGCTTCGTAAGTCCAAACATTTGCAAACTTTTTTATAGGGCCTTCATCTGTTGCTTCTCCCTCAATCATTAGGACACTTTGGTCCCTAGTAGTTATGATAATCTTACTACCGGAACCGAACCAATTGTCCTTTTCTGCTAATATTTTGAGTTGCTCTTTCTCATCCACGTCGTCAAGAACAATGAGAACTTTTTTATTGCAAAGTACTCTCTTAATCATGTTGATCCCATCATCCATGTCGTGAATTTGGTCGAGGTTAGAATGAGAATCGAGGAACTTGGATAGTAACCGTTTTTGCAAATGTACCAGACCATGACGTCGTGATGACTCTCCGATGTCGGAAAGGAAATTGCAGTCTCGGAAGTGAGAAGACAGTCGGTTGAAGATGATCTTGGCAAGTGTTGTTTTGCCAATCCCGCCCATTCCGTGGATTCCGAGGAATTGTACGCTATCAGATTCCACATCCAACATTTTGATTATAGCTTCTACACGATCATCAACTCCAACTAGATGTTCAGTCACATTTTTTTTAAATCCGACGTTCAGCTTATTCGACACAAATTGAATTATAGATTGTGTCAAATCTACTTGGCTGCCACAACAGAACAACTATGTTAGTAATAAATTTTATGTTGTAAAACTACTCCCTAAGTGACAAAATTGCCCTTACAATTGGCAGAAATTAAGCAAAGAAATATAGAAGCCAAAACAATCCGGATTTTTCCCAATCTATCTACGTTCCCCCAATTTTAGTCACCACACCGTCGGCCCCTGCCACTACCACACCGCCATTGACATCACTCACCTCCCTGGGCCATCACCGTGGCATTCTAGCGCCGTTGTCCATCACGACCCATCAACCCGCTCATTTTGGCCTTGCCTCAATACTCCACATCACGTGGGTCGTGGCCTTGCGACCGCCAGGGATGGCGTAACCGGCCTTGGGCAATACCAGATTTGGCGTCACCCAAGGTCGGTGAGGCCGGATCTGGGCTTGGTGACGTCAGAACTGGTGTCCCGAGCCCAGATCCGACTCATCACCGTGAGTGAGAAGGAGAAATGGTGGGGGTCGGATGGCTGAGCCGCAGCTTCTGGCGGCTTGGTGCTAGCTGGCAACGAAGAAGTGGCAGGGACTAACCGTCGAGTTGCTGTGGTGGCTGGCGGTGGCTTGGTGGAACGGCTAGGAGATCTGTTACTGTTCATGGCTACTATGTCAAAGACTGCGTGTGAGAGGAGAAACAGACTCAGGATGAGTAGGGTGTGCTACCACCGCAATAGCACCATCAACCGAAGCTATCGCTGCGATAGCGCAGATATCGGCCACTGTCGTCGATAGAAGTAGCAGCAATGGCCACGACCACAATTTACACTATATAGGATCGACCAGATGAATATTTTCACCAACAATACGACAAGTAAACTGACTAGGGAGGAAAATGATATCTACAGATGACAGTTGAAAAGTTTGAGACATTTACCTTTCATCTTTCTTCCAGTTCCATCCCTTTATCTCGTCCACCTCAATAAGAGCCTTTTTCCATGACTCGACTTCAGTGCAAAACTTTTTCTCGTGCTTTGATAGAGCTTTGCTGTATAATTTTGTTTTGAGCTTGACATCATCAGGCTCCACATCCAAGAAAATGGGCAAAATCTCTTTAGTCTCATTCGATTTGGAGGTGCACTCAACCATGTATCCAAGTTCTCGGAGGCACCAGTGACTCGAAGCATAATTCTCGGAGAATATGGGAATGTAGATCTTGGAGTTCTCGATTGCTTGTAGAAGTTCATCGCCAATTCTTTGACCAACATGGAGAGATTCATTGTCCCTAAAGACGAGGATCCCGGCCTCAACCATGCCACGGTAAAGAAAATCGGTGAATCCATGGCGGGTGTCTAGTCCTCGAAAACTTAGAAATACCTCGTAGGAAGGTCCGGAAGATGCCCTCGAATTCGTCTCTTTCACTAGTGTTTTACATGTCTTCAAGGTCCGGCTGAGGCGGACGCAGAGGTATATGAGGAGAGCGATGGAAAGCGCAGAGAGGCTGAGGATTCCGATGAGGAGGTAGAGCTTGAGGCTGGGGAAGGGAGTCTTGGGGGTGAGCTCGTGAGGAAGAGAGCCACAGAGAGGTCGGTGTTCGCCGGAAACCGCCATGTTTCGAGCGGAGCCAAGAGCGAGAGAGTAGAAAAGGCGAAGGGAGTACGTGAATGCGTGAGAATTGAAGAATGAGAGCTCTGCGCAGAGAGAGAGAGAGAGAGAAGAGCCGTAGCTTATAATGGAGACAAAGGAAAAGGAAAGAGAGAGAGAGCGAAGGATCTTCGATGTCGTCGTTAAAAGTCTCGTCTAGCAATACTATTACGAAAGTGCCATTGTGTTGGATGAGTGACTTTTGTTTCTGTTGCATGGGATGGTGGTAGATAAATTGATAATTGGTGCTGAGGGCATTTTTGACATTTGGAGACGGGTTTGTGGGTGAATGGGGACGAGTCTGTTTGAGCGCCACTTGACTAAACAAAGAGAAGGCGACAGGAAGAAGGTGAGATTCACTGTTTTTATTATATGGCATTTGGGATGAAACTATATATCATCAGAAAGTTTGGTCTTTGAGAGAGTAGGTTCAATAATTGAATTGGTCAATTAACAAGTGGACTGTGTCAAAGCTAAGGAATCTACGGTTGAGGGAAAATTTTTAGAAATAAAAATAGGCAGAAAACAAATCCATCTCTGAGATGATAAAAGCACAATTAATTAAGGAACCTATTCTAAATCAAGCTGATACCTATTCTACTATTAATTAAGGAACCCATGAGATTTCAACCCCCTCCATTCAACAATAAAAACGCAACTAGTATTATATATAAACCCTAGAACCTAACAATGTGAAAGGCCTACTAAGTATTAACTGGTTCAGGCATGAGTCGACAGTGCAATCTTCGAATCCTAGCTATGCTCCTATTTTGGTTTTCTTAATTTACATAGACAAACAAGATAGAAGTGAGTATTGTCATAATACCATACAAGATGAACTTAATTAGCTGATAAGGCGGTTCCGAGATCTTAACTCTAAATGATCAATAAATGTTTAGTATATAACTCTACTTGGTTTTAAAATGTCATGATATCATAGTGGTGCCATTTGTTATATAGCAAGAGAATTTGGGTTTATAGCAAGAAGAATTAATTGTCAATATCTTTGGTTTTTGTACAAGTGAAAATGAAGGTTTGAATAAAAAAAAAATGTGGCACGCGGTGTAGGACATTGCTTAGAAAAGTCTTGTCCGTAGGCCTCATTCAAAGGATGTGTCGAAAAATAAAACGCGTTTTACGAGTCATCCTAGAAACTTCGTAGAAGGTTTCATTGGTCAATCAATGGGTTGTCATCCTAGGAGTTTTCATGTCCCATGCGTTTAATAACAAATTTAAAATTGGAGATTCATAGCTTTGAAAATAGATGATATAAAGTCAAATTGGGGTTCAAAATGAATATGGTTTTTGAGCTTTTCTTTATTTTAATTTTATTAGAAAAAATATTAAAAATCCAATCGGACTTTGCATTCCCATCAAATACGACTCTGAGTTTTTGACATTTGTGGCAATGTTAAGCTTTAGAAAAATCCTTACTAGATGCTAAACTACCTTGTAAAAACCAGGGACCTTCACTTTTGTAAAAGGTGACAGCTTATCGCAGCCTTAGAGTTGGTAACCTTGCAGCATGCACAAGCGTTCTTCCAATTTCGCAAGACGTCTCGTACTCTCTTCATCTAGAGCAATCACATGGTTACCGTGGTGTAATCAGTTAATTCACGTCATTCATTCTAACAAAAAAATCTATAAATACAGCATCCCGTTTAATTATTACGCGTGTTAGCATCTAAGCATGCCTCGATCTGTGCCTCAATCGCCGGATGGCCCACTCTAATTCCTCCACTCCTAATGCAATCATCCTCAGCCATTCGATCCGGATACCTACTTTCAAATCAAACCACGTCGCACGATCTATGTCCCCATCATTGAGGACCACTCAACAACGAGAGAAAGCATTATCGTGAAAATATTATATAGACCTAATTTAAATTTGATGTGAAGGATAAAATCACTCACAATACAACAGCCACAGTACGGAACTTTGTATTTATTTTTTTTGGACACGCAACATGGGATATTTCACAATTTTTCTTAGATGTTCTAAGAAATCTAGATGCCAGACAGCGCAACCTAAACTCGATCTGCATCGAACTCTTTAATTTAGTAAATACCGTTCTTTTTTTCTTCCTTGATGTATCTTCATCCTTTCATTGATTTGTTTGGTGTTCAATGTTCATGTATATCTTATCTGTTTTGCATCAGTTTGGCCACAGAATTTCCCAAATTAAATATTGAGATGCGAATTCTAGTTAAAAACACCATTACTATTAGGAAAAGCACATGAATAGCTTTTAACTGAAGAGACTTATCTATCAATGGAATTAATGTAATCAATAAAGCAAAATATTATATATATGTGTCAACATCTTAACCTTACTTGAAATTAATTTATTTACTTAAATTAAAATTATCTTATATGTATCATAATCTTAATCTCACTTTAAGAAGTATTACGTGGCTGGTGTTACCAATAAAAGCAGTTAAAATAATATAAGAGATTGAAAAGAGTTATTCACATTATTACTTAGTTACAAAATAATGTGAAAAATTTTGAATGCTTGATGCCCTACCTTTTCAAATGATCATTCATAGAATATAGATCTAGATCCCAAACAAATATGGAAAGATATATGTTACCACACATTAAACATAAAGTCGACTATATAAAAGACGCTGACAATATTCCAAATACTAGTGAGTATCAATAAATCGCAGATCATATCAATAAAGATTGCACAAAATCAAATCAAATATATCTAGCATCCCACTCAAAATTTAAATTAATCCCGATTGGTTAATTTGTCTGGAAAGCACACTAAGTCCCAAATCGTCGTTGTTAGCTAATCTGCTGCACAGCGCGTAACACGGGAAAGCAAGCCAAAGTCTTGTAATATCTTTGCTTGCTTCGTTGCATTTTCCTGTTCTTTTCTTCCGGCCAAAGAAGTCAAAAGTCTTCCACCGTCTCCCTTGCTTATTGCTAAGAAAGCGATAAGGCAATGGCCGCGACAAAAGGGCAGTTTCAGGGACCCTTATTGAAAAGTCTTTCTTAGACGAGGTTTATGAGTCATCCCAGAAGTTTCCTAAAAGTTTCCATTGATCAATCAATGGGTTGTCAACCTAGGGATTTCGATGTCCCATACATTTAATAACAAATTTTAAATCAGAGAGTCATGGTTTTAAATAAAGAGGATATAAAGTGAAATTAGGATGCATAGTGAAGGTGATTTTTTAGCTTTTCTTTATTTGAACCAAGATATAAGAGAAAATTTTGAAAAATCCAACAAACTTTGTATCTATATTGTATACGACTCTCAGTTTCTTGACATTTGCGACAATGTTCATCTTCAGATAAAAATCCTTAGCTAGAAGATTAAACTAGCTATCCCTCTTCTAAGGAAATTTCTATTATGTGCCGATCACATGATTGACGTGGTGTAATCGGTTAATCCATGTGGTCCATGCAATGTGCGAGTCATTCTAATGGACGATGAAATGTTAAAACTTAAAAATACTCACTTTGCATTGATTTATCACACCATGTGATCTGACATAAAGTGAAAGTAGGGTAAAAGGAACTGGACTTCCAATACCACTTGAGTCAATATAGCCAACACCTTTTTTTTCCCTTAATGCACCTCCGTCTTTTTGATTAATTTATTTCGTTTATGTATATCATGTCTATTTTGCATCGGATTTGGCCGCAGAATTTCCCAAACAAATATTAAAATGAGAGTTAAAAGCACCAATCTGTAAAAAAAAAAAAAACATAAATAGCTTTTAAGTGAAGAGACTTTTCAGTCATTGAAATTTATGTAATTACTACAATAAAAACTATTATATACGTATCAGAATCTTAACCTCATTGAAAATTAGTTTAATTACTAAAACTTAAATAATTATATGAGTAACATTATCTTAATCTTAATTTATGAAGTAATATGTCGCTGTTGTTACCAATAAAAGAAGTTAAAAATAAAATAAGAGATAGCAAATAGCCATTCGAATTTTTACATAGTTATAAAAATAATGTGACAATTTTGATTGCTTGAGTATGCCCTACCTTTTCGGATAATCATTTATAGTTGTGTTAACCAGAGACAATTATAGATCTTGATCCCAAACAAATATGACGATCTTTCCTATAAATCTTGATTTTAATCAAATATGGGAAGATATAAGAAATCACAAATTTAAATATAATAACGAATATAAAAAAGACGCTGACAATATTCCTAGCATTTGTGAGATTCGATAAATCGTGAAACACATCAATCAAGATTACACAAAATCAAGTCAAAATGTATCTAGCATCCCACTCAATATAAGATGATTGGAGTGAAACCACCTTGAGTTTAGAAATTAAGCTATGAAACTGCCTAGATAATCAGATTTAGTAACAGAGTAAATGTAGAGTGCCATGAACACTACGTTATTGATTTGCAAAAAGGGTTGATTTGCACAATTCTTAATATGAACTACTTTATTTAATCATGATGTCACCACAAGTAGCTTAAGCACGCATGATAACCATTCTGTTTTTTTATTTTTCTATTTTTCTGTTCCCGAAAATAGGCTTGGAACAAAAATTTGTTTGTTAACGTAATTTTATTTTTCTATTTTCGGAATAAATTTTTAGCCTAGAAATAGGTTTGGGATAAAAATGAGAAGTAGAAATTTTCTGCTTTTCTATTATTGGAATAGATACAGAAATAAAAACTCATCTCATTGCATGCCCTTGCCGCCCGTAGCCTCCCGCCGGCCATTGGCCACCCACCGCCCTTCGCCTGCTGCCCATAAATTTTAAGGCCTGTCAAATTTATTTTTGTTTTGGGAACATAAATTTTATGTCATTATTAAACGTGTTTCTCTGTTCAAAAACTCATCCATGGAATATTTATGGTCAAAAATTGTTCCCGAGAATAGAATGGTTATTATTCGCACCTTTAATATCTGTTATTCCAAATTTCAGATTTGCTATTCTCTTATCTTAAATTTTACATCAAATTAAAAAGTAAAAGTAATGAGAGAAGGCTATGAATACTCACATTTAAATTGATCCTGATTGGTCAATTATATGGAAAGTGTGCACAACTTCCATATCATGGTTGTTAGCTAATCTACTTCATAG